GCGTGCGAGGAGGTATCGCCAGAGCTGCTAACTATTTTTTTGACTCGTTAGCGTTGGAGGTGTTTGCGGATTTACCGGAGGTCTCCGCGGTCGACGCTTTCCCAGAAGCCGTCTTGTTGGCCGGAATATGGGGACATTTGTCCCGCATATGGCCGTCTTCGCCGCAGTACAGGCACAACTTGTTCTTTTTGCGCCTATCCTTTTCGGCTTGACTTAGCTTCCCGTCTTTGTCGAGCACATTGGCGTAGGGTTTGGAGGTATTCGGAGAACCCGAACCCTTTCCGTTGTTGTTACCCCTGTTGCCGTTGTTGTTGTTGCCCGAGTTGTTAGACAACGAGGAAGAACCAGAATTTCCCGAAGAGGACCGATGACTGTCCTTCTTCTTCCCACCACCCTTCTGGTTAGAATTCGAACTCTGAGCAGAGCTCGAAGAGTCGGAGCGTCCGGCATTACCAGACGTCATGCCTTTGCGTTTCTTCTCGGCTCGCGTTGCCAGTAACGGTGATCAGCTTTCTTAGCTGCCGCGCTGACGCCGAGGAGAGTAGTGTCGTATTCCATATTAAGGAGTGCATCCTTAACCCGTGGAGCCAAACCTTCGTAAAACTGAGAACGAAGGGCGACTAGACCCCAGCCAGCAAGCGAAGCAAGACGGTGAAACTCGACCAAGTATTTCGAGATGTGGTCGCCGGAGGACATACGGAGATGCCGAAGGGCAGTCTCGGCGTCACCGACGGGGTCCACAGGGCCGAAGTGGTCTTGCAGCTCTTGAACAAAAGCTGGAAAGTTGTTATGCCAGGCTGGCAAGAAGTTGGGGTCGGCGTCGTAGATGGCCAGCTCGAACCAAGCAAGTGCTGATCCCTTCAAGTACGAGAGGACGTAGCTGATGCGAGATTCATCATCGGGGAAGGCGTCAGGGCGTTCAGCAAAATGCAGGTAAACAATAGCCAAGAAGGGTCTTAGCTTTGAGGATTCCGAGCCATCAAACGGGTCGGGGTTCCGAAGGTTGGATCGGGATTGCCGCTGAGTAGTTGGACGTTGCTGACCATTGCGAATGCCAGTCAAAACGTCAATCAGGGCGGCCATACCGTTACGGAACCACTGGCGATCTTCGCTCAGATTTGAAGACGCAGAAGACTCAGGTCTTCGACCTCCACCACCTCCACCAGGACCGCCGGGGCCTCCGGGGCCACCCGGGCCACCAGGTCCGCCAGGGCCACCTCCCGGAAGGGGAGAGCCTCGGTTCGGAGGGGTATCGGGTCCTCCGCCTCCTCCTGGCCCTTCATTTCCACCCTCGGGTTCCCCACCTTCATCCCCACCATCGCCGCCATCACCTCCCGGATTTCCCCCACCAACACCTTCGTTAGTCTCCACAATTTCGTGAAGACGGGGCGAAGTTTGAGCGTCGGCGTATTTACGGAGGGGCCGAGGGAGGAGCGATTCATCCAAGAAAATAGCATCAGATGAGTGGCGACGAGGTTGAGGCATGAAGTATGGTGGAGCGGTATTGACAGGAATGTCTTGATACCGGGGAACCGCGAATTGAGGGGGAACAATGAATTGTGTGTTTGGACCAGGAGAGGAAGAGACGTACTGAGTAGGAGAGCGCAAAATAGGTACTTGACTGAACAAGCGGGATTGACGACGGTCGGCCATAACACGGACTTGTAGGCCTTGCTCCGTATGCGAGTGTCAATCCCGAGAAGGCATTTGAACCAAAGGAGAAACCAAAGGGGGGTTGTGAGGCGCAGCGTACAGAACCGCGCGTTGGGGAGAGGGAGTCGTTGGGGAAAAGTGTCCAGACATGGCAAGGCGAGTAGTTGAGTTTCGTTATACTGTTAAGTACCATGCAAGAACCGAAAGGAAGTAACGGAAAGTCCGAAGCAGAACCGAGTGGCTATCACAACACTATATCAGAGTGAGCGACTACACGTCTTGCAGGCCGAAAGCAAGTCTGAACAAATACGTGAACTCCCGCGGATACGTTCGGAGACGCCGAAGGCGATAAGGCTTAGAACGCGGGGAGGAGTCGGACGAGAGCGGAGAGTGAGGCAAGAAACGTTAATAACGAAACTGAAGTACAGGATCGTAGAGTACGAGTATTTATACTAAGTGGTAAACATAAGGCATATGACCTCGCAGGGAGATCCGATGTGGTCCGCAGGATCTCCCTGCGGGTTAAGTACAAAGGCATAGTAAGTAAGGGGAACGAGAAGACATACACGAGGCAAAGGAAACAAGGCGAATGCCTAACGGATATAAGTAAACAAACCAAAGTCCAAATGGGTAAAGATCCGAGTTGATGGGCGGAGAGTCCGAACAGGTCCGAGAGAGTCTGCGTGCAGATTAACTGTTTGAAGGGAAACGCTCAGATACCTTCATCGCGTAAAAACCCTGTTGCGCTCCAAGGATAACCCTCGGAGCGTCCGAAGATGCACGGGATATAACAGCCTATTAGTCATATTATTAGGAGCACTACAAAAAGAGGGTGAGAAGGGCGACCTCGCTCAGTCAGGAAAGCCCCTCAGTCACTAGTACGGAAAAGGTTGAGAGAGAGAAACTGTCTGCCGGAATCGGAAAATGGACTTGCCATGCAACAATTGTTTCACAGCAGAGATGGCCGCCGCCGACAGCCAAGCCCCGAGCAACGTGCGGTGCGAAAAACGGGATCCCCGCAGTGCGTGCGTGCGCTCCGTGCCGCGCGGCGGCCTGCGCAGGAGTCGCCCAATTCCCCGGATGCAGTATTCAGTTACAACAGCGTGCGGGCTATACGCCGGAACTAGGTTCCACGGCGCACACCCACACTCCTGCACGTTTCTCTGGCCCGCCGCCGGGGTCCGAGTCACAGCCCCACGCGGCACCTGAGCCCTACGCCGGCGCTCTGGATTCGTTCCCTGGCACATACGGCCACGCGCCGGTGGGTGCGTTTGCAGCAGCAGGTCGAGACCGTGACCTCGCGCCGCGGCCGCAGCGCGACGCCGCGGCCCGGCCCGGGGGAGAGTTACAACCACCTCCGTGTGAATGCGACACAGATGCTGCAGTCCAACTCGCATGTCCCGGATGTGTGTAAGTAGGAGAAGGGGAGCCTCATGACTCCCATGTTATATAGCCGTGAGCTATAAGAGTAGTTTTCACTAAATAATACTGGTTGAGCTTTGAGCTATGCTGTGTGAGGTTTAAAGCATGGTTGAGGTTTGAGCTTGAGGTTTCCAACATGGTTGGGATGTGAGCTTGGGGTTTTGCATCTGGTTGAGGTTGAGGTTCCTGTGGTTGAGGTTCAGCTTTGAGGTTTGAGGTTTGCAATTGAGGTTGAGGTTTTTGGAATTGAGGTTGGGTGTGGAGAACTGAGGATTGTGCTTGAGTTACTGAGGTTGAGGTTTGTGGTGTTGAGGTTGAGCTTTTTTTTGCTGAGGTTTCATCATGACATGATCAAGGTCATCCGGGTACCTGCATCAAACCTTGATGGAGCCTTGATCAAACCTTGATCAATGACATAAACTGATCAACCACCCGGCCAAAAGCTCCAAATGAAACCTGCCAGCTTTATTACATGACTAGGCTCTTACCAATGAACTAAAATTAATTTAAAATAAATGGTGCTTGCCTTGTACAAAGTTTAAATCTGAATGTCTGGAAAATGCTTGAATTAACTGTTCGGCATGATACACTTACTTTTAGGCATTGAACTGATAGCATAAGTAAACAACTTGAGAGTTTATTACAATGCTCTAACCTTGTCTGCATCAACCAGGTTGATTATTATAGAAACGTTTCCTATTGCTTTTGCATTCTTCCTTCAAACTTCAGTGGTACAGGCACCTTAATTGGTTTTGGTAATCTACTGGGAGCAAAAAAAGACTTTATACTTAGTTCATTCACTTGCAGTAGTACAAACAGTTACCATCTGTTATACAGAGTCATGATCTGTATTACTGCTGAATAAATTTTAAGATTACCTATCTCATAATCTATCTTCTTTGTTTATTGTTAGGTAAAGTGTAATTCTGTATCTTTTACAAGATAGCAATAATAAGCAGATCAAATGTCGGTGAAAAATCAGTGGAGCCATCAAGGTTTGATGCAGGTGTGGTCACCTGTCAAATTTCTACCTTGATGATCAAAAACCTCAACCTCATCAATGCAAACCTCAACCTCAAAAGCAAAAACCTCAACCTCACAAGCAAAAACCTCAACCTCAAAAGCAAAAACCGCAACCTCCAAATCAAAAACCTCAACCTCCACAGCAAAAAGCTCAAGCTCAAACCTCAACCTCACATTCAGAGCTCAACCACGGTGCTCAACACACCAACCTCAAGCAATAATATTTGGTGAAGAATAACCTCATAGTGAGCTGGTCCTGCAGCAGCAGAGGTGCCGCGAAGAGCAGGAGATGCTCCGCGCCGGCCCGGGCGGGAGAGCGCCGAGCGCGCACGGCCGGTAGAGACTCCGTGTGCGCCGTGCGGCTCAAGTGTAATGCGATGATGGGATGATCAGGGTCTAGATCTGTATTGGTTTGTAGCGATGCTGTTGGTTTGCAATGATGATGGTTTGCAATGATGATGGTCTTGAAATACTTGAACGCCGGCGGCCGCACACGAGCGGGGCGTCGCGACGCAATAAATATCCGGCGCCCGGCCGTCGCCACGATGGGCAGATGTGCGGGAAGAGCGAGGATTTACCGCGCGGTGCGAGTGACCGCTGACAGCTGTCGTCCTCGGCCATGACGACGACCGCTCCCGCGCCCACGCTGTCCTTCCCTTCCCTTTTACGCTCACCCGCCTTGTTCTCCCTTCGCGCCCTATTGTGCTGGTGCCCGTGTGAGCGCGGAGGCTTAAGACGGACAAGGACACGGCTCAAGGCGGACAATTGCGCGGCGGCCAGCGAACTTCGCCCTCTGCTTCCTGCGCTCCCTCTTTCTCGTTCCCGTTCTCTCTCCCGACTCTCTCCTTCCGACATCCGTAACCTTCTTCTCTTTCCATCTCTTCCTTCCTTTCCGACTCAAGATGCCCCCTCCACCGCCACCACCTCCGCCCCCTCCTCCTCCTCCTCCACCACAACCACAGCCCAACGCCAACCCCGCCCTCGGCAACGTCGACCTCGTAGACAGCAGCGCCGGCGGCCCCCCCGCGGCGCCCGGTCCTGGCTCTGGGTGCGTCCAGGCCTCTCCCCTTCATCCCTCCAGTTGCTGACGCTGGACAGCCCGCCGCCACCGCCTCCGCCAGGCGCTGCACCCGGCGGACCGGGAGCCGAGGGTGGTGCGAAGCAGACGACGACGACTACGAGGGACGTAGCGACGACGACGAAGCCGGCGGAGAAGCCGCAGACGACGACGACGCGCGCAGGGAGCGGGGATAACCGGGACGGCGCCGGCGCGGGGTCGTCGGCCAGGCCGGTCTCGAGCCCGGGCCTGAGTCAGAGCACGCAGCTCTCCACCTCCCTCTCGCTTCCCCCGCCCACCACCACACCCTCCTCCTTCGCCGGCCCGGGTGCCCGCCCCAGCGCGAGCCCGCCGCCGCTCGCCTCCGCCGCCCGCGCTCCCTCCACGTGTGTCCCCTCCCTCTCTCTGCCCACACGGAGTCTGACCCCCCGCCCAGCACCGCGGTCATCGGCACCATCCTCGGCGTCCTCGGCGCCTTCGCCGCGCTCCTCCTGCTCTGTGTGTGCGTCCACCGCGCGCGCTCCCAGGCCGCGCGGCGCCGGGTCGCGGACTACGTGCCCTGGCCGCGACGTCGGGCCGCAGAGCCGGGCTTCGACGCGGCGCATCCCGGCGGCGACATGCCCACACGGAGTCTGACCCCCCGCCCAGCACCGCGGTCATCGGCACCATCCTCGGCGTCCTCGGCGCCTTCGCCGCGCTCCTCCTGCTCTGTGTGTGCGTCCACCGCGCGCGCTCCCAGGCCGCGCGGCGCCGGGTCGCGGACTACGTGCCCTGGCCGCGACGTCGGGCCGCAGAGCCGGGCTTCGACGCGGCGCATCCCGGCGGCGACACCGGCGCGGGCGCGGGGGACCAGCTGAGCTGGACGAGCGTGTCCGTCGGCACCGGCACCGCGAGCGACGGCACCTCCGCGGACCCGTGGCTGCGCAGCGTCAGCTGGCCGCGGCTGCCCAGCGCGTACCGGCCGGGCACGGGCGACACCGGGACGAGCGCGGTGCAGCAGGTGCACAGCCATCCGCGCTTCTCGGGCGTGGACGTCGATGGGCGGCTCGACCGCACGCCGACGCCGCCGGCGGTGCAGCCCGAGATGGCCCAACTGCCGGTGCCCGGCGCGAGCCCGCGCAAGGCGTACTCGGACGGGCACGCGTTCGCACGGCCTGAGGAGCGGGACGCAGGGGAAGGGCAGGGGAAGCATGTCACGTACCCGTTTGCGTATCCGGGGGCGTGAGGGGCTTATTTTTGTATGGGATGTGGGATGTGGGAGACGCGGCGCGGGCGCGGATGGATGTGCTGCTGGACAGGGACCGTATTAGCTACGAGTAGCTGGGGTTATAGCGCCCCCCCGCTCGCCGCGCAAGCTCTTTGGCAGGTAGCGCGGTAGGTGGAGTCAAGTTTCGCCAGCTTCAGCGGTGTTAGCGGCAGTGTCCGTGTCGCGTCCCTGCGCGGGACTCCGCCGTGTCATGCGGGACTGTCCGCGGGCGGGTCGGGATGGTGGACGGTGGAGAGCGAAAAGGGTGAAGTGGTTTATAAGCAGCACGTGGTGCGGGCTGCGGCGGAGTTGTGGTGGTTGACAGAAAGAAGGAAGGCCGGGGAGGATTCCCTCAGGAGGTTTTCTGGCTGTTGTGTTGCTCTACTCATCTGCGGAAGGTTCCAGCGCCAACAAGCAGGATTTGGGCCCCGCGCTCACCAATCTCGCGGAGAACGCGCTCAACGGCGCCGAAGCGCCGACGCGCCGACGCGCCGACGCGGCAGGTCGCAAAGCGCCGAGAAGCGCCACACGGCTGTCCTGCGATGCTTTGCGGACGTGGGCGATGCTCTCCAGAGCCGGTTCAGGCCGAAACAGCGAAGATTCGGCCAGAGTGATCCCGGCGAGTTCTGGCAGATCTCTGGGCTTAAACGGCGGGGGGCGGAAGCTTGGGATAGTGGGAATGAGGACTTTAGGCTCCTTGGCTGGCGTCGGGCAGTGTGCCCGGGAGCAAGCTATCGAAGACCTTGCCGCTTGCGGTGGAATCTGCGTCCAAATCATCGCAGAGCTAATTTCTGGATAGAGGGCCACTGGAGAGCTGCGGCATATTGCCTGCCGTGTTTGAGTTGGCGCTTCAAGGAATGCGCGCGAACGGCCTGGAGCCGCGTAACAGCTTGCTCGTCTCGCAAGAAACTTCCTGGAGGTGTGTGCCCGTGGCGTCGCTACTCATGCGCGCGATATCGTGGGAGACGAACGGGAGACGGCCGAGAACGGCCCTGGCCTCGAAAAAGGCCAACCGGGCTGCACAGACCCAAGCACTGGGTCACTCCGCTTCAAACTCGCTGGAGACAGGAGGGTGTATTGCCCCTTCTCACCCTGGAGGTCGCGAGCCGGACGCGTGAGCACTCGGCCCACCGTCCGCGAGTTTCGCGCAACGCAGCGCGGCGAGCGCAGAGCCAGCCGTTGGCCTGTTCCCCTCGAAATGCTCAGGAACTGGAGCGCCATGTCCGCCCTGCCTGTGCTGAAGAATTCAGCGCGAACGAGCAAGAATAGCGCTCAGCGCTCACCGATATAACCCGCTGCAGAGCGCCGAGACATCTTGGATATGTCCCGCGAACCTCCCTCGACGCGGAAAACTCACCCCAGAACGTCTTCTGGCCAAAATTGCCGGCATTTGGCTTTGGCACCAGCCCTGACTTGATTTTCTCAGCGCCATCGCTGTTGACGACGCGCGAGCAGCTTGCTTACCCACTCCCGATTCCCAGCTTTGGATTCGACGCTTGCAGCGGAAGCGAATTGTGCATTGGTGTCCCCGGTGAGTGCCTTCGTGGTTGTTGCCAAGTTTGCTGACCAGCGTTGGGGGGTTCCGGACGTCAGAGATCCCGCGCGGGAGGCGTTCCGGGCGATGCGGGGCGTTCCAGGCAAGTGGGGACGGCAGCAGAGACCTGTGCGGGCTGGCCAGCCTCGGACTCCGGAGTCGCGCACGCAGCCGCGCCAGTCCACACGAGCCTTGCGCTTGTCACCCGAGGAGTTCCCAGATGCGTGTTGTCGCCTAGAATATTGATGCTGACCACTGAGAGCGGCGTGTTTAGTGCACTGGCAGGTCGGCGGGTTCTGAGCGGGTATGGGGCCAGCGGGGGGCGCGAGAGCTGAGCGGGCGCCCACGACGGGATTGCCGGCGAGCCGCGGCTCATCGGCGGCCGGTAGTGGCCGCGACAAGCGCTGTGGACGCGCCAGAGCCATTTGGGGGCTCGACTGGTCGTATTAGCCGGTTTCTTGCGGATAGATTTGCGCCCGCCTACCGTCGAGTACGCGGCCACGGCTGCTTGGCGCGGCGTCAGCAGCATTGTCCGCGGCCCGTCCCCGCGCGCGCGGGCCTGTGCATCTGCGCCCGGGACCGTGGGCGGGTCGGGTCGGGGCGGTGGAGAGCGGAGAAGAAGGTGGTTGATAAGCGGCACGTGGTGCGGGCTGTGCTGCCCGAGTCCCACGCTGTCTTCTCCTTGGCTTTTACCACCGTCGTCGACGGCGCGCTGCGCATGCCGGCCCGCGCGCGCATGTGCATGTGGATGTGGATGCTTGACGGGCCGTTAACAGGTGTGTCCTGCCTTCCTTTACCTTGCAGACTCGGTCCCTCGGAGCGGCTCTCCCCGCTTCGACCATGCCGTTGCCAGTGTACTAACTTGAAATAACTTCCCAGATCTTTTCCCTGGTTACCCGCTAGAGGGGCCGCACGGCGACACGGACAGTGCGTGCTGTGCAAATGGCCGTGTGGCTGAGCGCTCGCCGCTGACGCACCTTACCGATAGGATCCACCCCGGTCCCCGCGCAACGTCAGCGCGCTCGGTGGGCTTCAGCTTGGGACCGACGCGGCCGCGATACGCTCTGGCAGCACCCGCCGGGGAGTCTTGGCAAGCTTCCTCGACGGTCGTCCCGAAACCTCTCGACTGTGAAGTCCCTTCCACTCTCCGGCCGCCTTCTTCCAATCACCGTCCCGCTCCTCCCGCTCTCACCGTCTCCTCGCGGCCAGCGACTCGACGGGCGTGCGGCACCCACGTCTCAATCCGCTCTCGCTCTGGCGCACGAAGGGAATCGCGCTCGGCGCCTGGCCCGGGGAGGCAACGTCGACAGTGCAGAGCCTTTCCCACGACGCCGATGCTTCCTTCGGCTGGGCTACCACCGCAATGCGGTTCGTGCACCACACTTACGGCCCGCGCCGTATGCGCGCCGTCTCACGCACTGCGTCGACCGAAAGGACCCCCGTGACACGCCGACGACAACGACGACGACGAGCGGGACCGGCGCGGGGTCATCGGTCAGGCCCGTGTCGAACCAGAGCACGCAGCTCTCGACCTCCCTCTCGCTTCCCCCCGCCCACCGCCTCCTTCTCCTCCGCCAGCACCGTCCCCAGCGCAAGCCCCAGCCCCAGCCCGCCGCCGCTGGCCTCCTCTCCCTCCCTCCCTCTGCGCACACTGGCACTGACCCCCCGCACAGCGCCGCGGTCATCGGCACGATCCTCGGCGTCCTCGGCGCCTTCGCCGCGCTCCTCCTCCTCTGCGTGTGCATCCACCGCGCGCGCGCGCGGATGTGGGATACCCGGGGGCTGGCGCGGGCGCAGGCGCGGATGGATGTGCTGCTGGACAGGAAAAGCAGGGACAGCCATGTAGCTATGCGCGGGCGCTGCTGGTGTACGACTAATCGACTGCGGTGTTGTTTGCAGCAAGACAGCGGGGCGGCCTATGAGCAGCCGGGATCAATGATCATGATGGGTACTACCAATCATTCACGCGTGACACGTCTGATCCCGACCGTCATGTAAATGTCCTTGCACACTTGTCCTGCTCCACCGAGGGGGCCTATTACACCCACCGCACGCGCGCCACGCCACCCCACACGACACCAGGCCCGGGAAAAGATGGCCGCCGTCTGGACTCCGCACAGGGGAGCGGCACCCCCGCGTTGGGCGAGAAGCGCGCGAAGCGAAGAAGCGCCCCACGAGGGGAAGCGAGCAGCGGGAAATTAGCGTTTTTCGCGGGGCGGGGGGTATAAATACGCCGCGGTGGCGCCCGTTCCTTCCTTCTGCCCCACCCGCACGAAGACGCTTACGAATACGAAAGACATGCTCGTCGCAGCCGTCCTCGCCCTCGCCCTCTCGCTCGCCGCCCTCGGCCTGAATGTGCTCGCCGCGGACGCCGACCCGAGCGGCGTGAGCCCGTGCGTGCTCACGTGCCTCACGACCGCCGCGCAGAACTCGGCCTGCGGGACCCCGTGCGTCGCCCGTCTTTTATCTGCCCGTCTCCCGCGTCGCTGACCCGCCGTCTGGTGCCAGGACGAACACGACGTGCGCGTGCGCCGACCCGGACTTCCAGGCGGCGAGCGCGGCGTGCATCACGAGCATGTGTCCCGACGCGCTGCAGGGCGCGCTCGGCCTCCAGCAGGCGCAGTGCGGCGCCGGTGCGTCCCCCTCTGCCTCGCTTCCTCGCTGACAAATGCTGCCGCCGGCACCGGCAGACGCCACGCACTCGGCCGCGGGTTCGGCGCCCGTCGTGTCGGGCTCGGACGGCGTTAGTGGAGGGCACATCTCGGCGTCGGCCTCCGTCTCGGGTATGCACGGCTCTGGCGCGGCCTCCGGCTCCCTGCCCGCCCTGTCGGGTGCCGCGGCCCCGAGCGCCGGCGGTACGACTCCCTCCGCCGCGGCCCGCACCCTCGTTGGTTTTGCGCACACAACCCTCGGCGTCGCGACGGTCGGCGTGCTCGTCCTCCTCGGCGCGGCGGCTGTTGTCTGAGCGGCTGCGACTCGACTCCGAGTCCCGTCGCGGCCCTTCTTCCTGTCGCTCGCTCAAGTGCTCCTGCAGAGTTGCTGCCCCCGTACTTACTACTCTGTATTCAATCTACTTAGTAGTCCATGACCACTGGCAATTGTTGGGAATCAAGCCGTGACTTGGCAGTCATGATCAACTAATCGTACACGAGCAGCGCCCGCGCGTAGCTACCGTCCGTGTCCCTGTCCCTGTCTCTGTCCAGCAGCACATCCATCCGTGGCCGGTATCCCACATCGCACATCCCATACAAAAATAAACCCCCCTCACGTCCCCGGATACGAAAACGGGTACGTCACATGCCTCCCCTGCCCTTCCTCGGCGTCGCGGTCCGGTGCGAACGCGTGCCCGTCCGAATACGCCTTGCGCGGGCTCGCCGGCAGTTGCGCCATCTCGGGTTGCACCGCCGGCGGCGTCGGCGTGCGGTCGAGCCGCCCATCGACGTCC